TACTTCTTCCAATTTGTAGAAATCTGAGAATTGATGGAATTTGATGTCTTTGAGGATAAAGATAGTAACGGTTATTGTTATCTTCCATTTATGGTTCATAATTGATGCTGAAGTTGTGTACTTGGTTGTTTTTTGTGGATTGGATTTGCAGAAGAAGATAGATGAAGAAGGTGATTTGCTTCCCGAGTTTGCTGATGCTGAAGAAAGTGAGTGATTAGTATATGGCAACGTATTTACTTGTTGGTTTTAGTTGTCAAAATGATTTTGGTCGTTTATATTGTTTGTGTTCTTCTCATTTGCACAGAGGAGCTATATGAGTTTCTGGATCTTCAACTTCAGAGTGACTTGAATGAAGAAAGGAGTAAGTTTATCTTCTTTAGACCGCTTTTTATTACACTTAATCGAAATGTGGTTACGCGTTATCAAGAAGCTAGTTCCTTGTTGCTCAGTTAAATATGCCACACTCGTTAGCTAGCATTGCCCTTGTTCTTGCTCCTGGCTAAATCTTTGATTCGAAAAATGATGACTTTTGTAAAATCTTAACTGTCTTATGAAGGTAGGATGATAATGTAAGATATAGGGTCTGCCAATTTTAACTTAGGAGAGGAATTTAGAAATATGCAAAATGTGTTCTTTAGATGGTTGGGAGCTTACCTTAGAATATGATCCAACCTTGATACTTTACTTAGCCACATGGAGAGAAAATCATGGATTCTGTAATCGATTTGATATCACTCCATTTAATGATGTATAAACTATGTGTGTGCAGTGAGACACTATGAGGTGGTTTACTTGATTCATGAAAAACATGCTGAGGAGGTTGAAGGCATTAACCAGAAAGTACAAGGTGAAGCGTTTTCCCTTCTTATGCTCCGTTGTTGTGCTCACTAGATTTCATGCAAGACCAACAATCCAACCTATATCGACTTATTTAGTTATTGTAGTGGTGAAACTCCTTGTATGTAATTAAGCTTGTTGATATTCAGATTTCCTGAAGGAGAAGAAGGGGAAAGTTTGGAGGTTTAGTGATTGGGGAATGCGTAGACTGGCATACAAAATACAGAAGGCAGAGAATGCACACTATATACTGATGAACTTTGAGATAGAGGCAAAATACTTGAACGAATTCAAGGGATTGTTAGATAGTGATGAGAGGGTGATTAGGCATCTCGTGATGAAACGTGATGAGGCCATTACTGAAGACTGCCCTCCACCTCCTGAGTTTCACTCTGTTCGGGCAGGTGATGAATATTATGATGATGATGAAGAGGAAGAGGAAGAGTTTGATGTAGATGAGGGTGAGGGTGAAGATGAAGAAGATGGTGATAATATAGAGTATGAAGTAGATGATGATGGTAATGTTGTTATGGTGTTGTATGGAGATGAAGAAGAAGCAGGAGCAGCAGAAGAAGAAGAGGGGGCTAGTGAACCAGAAGATGGACATGACAAGTCAACTAACGGCAGAAGAGAAACCCGGAGAACAGTTAACGTAGGAGGTTAGAGCTGTCTGTACTTTTGTTTTTGGGTCATGTTTTGGATTATACATTATAGGGTCACATATAAAATTGAAGTTGTTTGTTGTATTCAGAATAGCATCCTAAGAAGTATAAAATCAAGAATATGAGAAACTAAATTCTTCCCTTGAAAAGATAAGCGTCGAATACTTAAACTTGTTTGAAGCTGTCTCAAGGAACATAAAGAAACAACAATCCATTAAGCTCTAAGCAACACTACCATTAGATTAAAAACTACATCAACCCAACGAATGATTCAAATACTGTGAATTTCGAATCCATTTCCGACTTGTTTCTTGGATTGAGGTCAGTTCGAAGTTAGAAGAACTACCGTTTAGAAGGCCTAACGTCATCACCAGTGACATCTCCTTGCTCATTGTGGTCCTTAGCAACCCTCTTCCTCTTGGACAAAGGCTCAGATTTGCCAGCACTCAAGCTGATGTCCTCATCAACATCATCTTCTTCAATCTCTTCATCACCGTCTTCTTCATCCACCCCATTCTCCTCAGGGTCAAAATCACTTGCATCATCCTCATCTTCAACCTCACCAACCGGCCTCACTAGGTACTCAGTCCCAAGATCCTCCTCCTGCACAGTTTGAATGTAAAATGAGCAAACCAAACATGTTCTACGATAAGCACCCAATTAGTTATTCACTTTAAAAGAGAAAATGAGGTCAAACCTTCTATCCACTTACTCAGGGAGGGAATAAAAGAAAGACTAAAACCCCTAATTCTCTGATTCGGGTAAAAAGACAGAAGGATAAACCCTACTCTGGCCTTAAACATGAAAAATTTCCAGAAAAAAATCACCACTTTTCAGAATCTAATCTTTCTTTGGTGAAAATTGAGGCTCATACAAAGATTAAGAGTGGAATTGGAGTTAAAGAGATGCATAAAACCCTAGATCTATAATCTTCTCTTAAGGATTATAGCTCAAATTCACTTAAAAATAATAAACAAACTTAAAGAGATTCATACCTCTTCTTCATCGTCCTCGTTGTCATCATCATCATCGTCATCGTCATCGTCATCATCATCAGCGTCATCGTCTTCCTCTTCTACGTTAGCCTCTTCTTCACCGTCGCCGCCGGTAACTTCTTCACCTCCGTCTTTGACTTCCTTCACTTCACTGTCGTCGTCGCTCAGAACCTGAACCAAAGGTTCCTCCTTGAATGCCTTATCATCTTCAACATGCGTCATCTTCTTCAAACAATAAAATTTTCAGAGATTTTCGAGTTTCTCAGAGGAGAGAGGTTTAGCAGCAGCTGAAGCTTCGAACCAGCTTTAGAACGGTAAAACCCTCGTAATCCAATCTCAGCCGTTCAATCTCAACTATACTAGGATTGATGAGATGGCATCACATCCAACGGTTCATATTAGACAATAACGTGGTTTTGATGAATTTTTTTAATATAAAATTATAAATGAAAAAGTTCACGGAAAAACGTTTGGGCCTTAAACTTAGTTGTCTGGGCTACAAGTGAGGCCTAATCACCGTGTCTTTCTATTTTAAATACTAGAAAAAAATATATTTCATCCAAAATTAAAACTGCATGAAGTTATATGAATAAAACAACATTTTCATTATGTTACATACAACACAAATTAAACTGTTTTAAATATTAACTAATTCAAATTTTAATTCAGACGTTTTATTTTTACATTATATTACGTATTTTCCTTTTTAAACTACAAACAATAATTAAATATATGTAATAACACTATAGCGTGAATCCGCTTCTAGTTATTGATTTAAATTCACCAACCAATAATATTTTTTTTAAAATGATGATTTTTATTTTCTATCCTAAATTATAACTTTGAATAAATTTCTCCATCTTCATCTTCATCTTTTCAAAATATATTATAATAAAATAATAATATTGAGTTATTGCTAGTGAAAGGTTATAAAAAGAGTTGTGATGAAGTCCATCATTATTATGTTATTTACGTATGATTAAAAATAGTTTTTATAATATAGATTTCGAAAAAATGCTTATTGCAATAAATAGATTTTTATTTTATTTTATGGCATTTATTTGTAAAAACAAGATACAAATTAAGTCCAATAACTTAGAGAAAATAAATGCAACCCTAGAATCATCAATTTTGAGAGAGAGTGTGCATATAAGTTTGTATTACTTTTGGCAACAACATTTGAAACCACATGGAATACAAAGAGAACCACATTGTCCACCTTTTGGAAATCCAACTCTAATACAGTAGTTCATACATTCATCCCGCCCGTAACACCTAGTATTGCAGTTCTCAATTTGAAAACCTTCGATCCCTGCATCTATACAAGTCCATATATATATATATATATATTAATCATAATCGATACAAACATGTGTAAATTTTATATTACATTTCACTAAAACGATAATTATATAACATGTCAAAATAATAGAATTTTAAGGAAGCTTTTGAATGCATGTCTAATATATATATATAAACATAAACATTGTCATTAAGAATTTTACATATTTAGATATAGCTTTTGAAATGTCACTACTAATTTTCAAAATAACTAAATCAAATTCTAAATATACATGAAGCCAAAACGTTGTGGTTACACAACGAAGTTGCAACTATTATTATAAGGAAACAAGTCACCAAAGTTTTCGTACAACCCATAGTAATTTTTTCTATGAACTCTTATGAGATATTCAAATATTGTTATTTAGATCTTAATGATTGGCTCTATTTATATAACTTTTGGTTTTCAATATTTTTTTATTTTGATTAATTGATGATCCATTTTTGTTTGTTAAAGTTTTTTTTTGGCAAAAATCATTTACATTTATGAATATGTAAATATTTACAGTTAATGATCTCATAAATGAAAACTTAAAATTTTTAAAAAAGTGTCTGACACTTGTGAATATAGTCAAAGACAATTTGTTGGATATATTATCATTATGATCAATCAATATCTTAAGTTAAATGCAAGATTTAATTTCATAATTCAATATTGGGAAATTTTGTTTATAATTAGGTATATGGTATAAATTTTATCTGATTTCAAAATTGATATCGAAAAAGAAAGTAAAATGAAATTCACATATTATTTTTAAAAATCTTTAACTTCATTTTTTATATTAAAAGTAAAATCATTAGTTTTTTGGTTCGCGAGAATTGAAAAACTGAAAAGAAGATGAAAGCTAAAAAATTACACTAAAAACAGAACAAGCAGATCGCATAGAAGAGATCCCGACACCGGCGATTTTCACCACCACCAACGCCGGAAAGCATTGTCGGGAAGGAGGTCTCGATAATTGTGCTTGGGAAAGAAAAAAGCTCTTCTATTGTAGTATATTTTTTTCCTATAAAATTTTGGTAAGGAATTATGGAGGTTTCCTGATTTAGACCACCGAATTCGTATCGTGGTTTCTATAAATCAAGACTTTGATAGATCAAAAATAAAAACCAAATATATAAAAATCTTATTCCTTTTCTAAAAATATCTTATTCATTTCTCGTTGAACATTGAATTATTTTAATTAGTCGACATTTCACAACGTTTTGATGATGTCAGCAGTCATATCGGCGATATCATGGGCGGCTTTGTTACGTGCGGTCAACGGAGATTGCCCGGCGAACTGGTCCTCACAATAACCCGGCTTCGCCACAACGTCTTTCATTTCAGACATAGCCTCAGAATATTTCTTCACCTTTAGATCAGCCACCACCGCCGGTAAAAACCTATCAACCGCCGCACCGTACTCCTCGATGCAAGTTCCGTATGTCTCAAATTCTTCACGGCGTGTGACATTCTTTAGGACAGAGATAAGATATGTTAACGTCACGTTGAATTTCTTTGTCGTAGCATCGAGAGAGATCGACGCAAGCCCTTTCATGGATTCAAAAATAAAACAAATATGTTTTAGCTATAGAACTTTGCAATATATAATGGTATACGAAGGAACTTACGTTAATCATGCCACATAGCAAAATCATTTCATCATTGTTTTAATCAAGTTTTTCTTTTAGGTTGTTAGCTAGTGGACAGTTTTTAGAGAAAAGAAAAAGGCAAAGAATGATTTAGCACCTTGTAGATTTGAGGTTTTGCTTCTAGGATCAAGATTGAGAGTAGAGATGCATAGGGCTTGATAACGGTTTCTTTTGCAGAGTTGTTGAACAAGGTTAGATCCCGGAGGAGCCTGAATTGCTTGAGACAAGGCTATTTGGATTTGGATAAACATGACAAAAACAGCGAATAAGTTCATGAAATTATTCATTTTGTTATTTGATATTGGGAGAATTTTGAGAGCTACTGTTGGTGGATCGTTCTAGTTTTAAGGTTATATAGCTTTTAATTTATAATAAGTCGAGGACCAAACTTCTGAAAAACTATTTAGGCCAAAATTAATTTTCAAAATAAATATAAATATTAGAATGACAGAATCCATTGACCTCTTTTGGTCAAGGATCAATTAAGGAGTAATTAACTGAATGTGTTTGACTAGAAAGACATATGATATCTTTCTTTTTATCAAAAATAAAAGAAAATAACATTTGATATCTTTCTTTTTCACGATATACCATGATATCTTTCTTTTTTCTTGACTATTTCCGCAAACTATATCTAATATGTACAACACACAAAACCCAATTTATTCAAATTGGGAACCACTTAATTAATACTTATATATTCAAATCAAAATAGTTCAGATATTTTTTTTATTAATACCAAAAAGTTGAAACGTGAAACATTATCTCAAAAAGATGATATTGTTTACATGAGGATGAGGGGGGTAATTATGAACTATCGATAAAGGACTTTGTGTATGACCCATACCATCATCGCTAATCGATAACTATATTTAACCTGACCAGACTAGTTTCAAGGTCTTGCTAAGCACTTAAGAAATACATCAGAATTCATTGCCCTGGCAAAAATCTTCGAACGCAATTAACGAAATTCTACATATCTCATGTTCAAATCGAATGTTAAGCAGAAGTTATAAATAAATGTATCCTATATAACAACGTAAGAAAGTTTTCCTTTAGGCTACGGATTAATCAAAGACTCTTGATATAAAAATGGAAATAAATACCTTATTCTTACTCACTTATTCGTTACTCGATTGTGCTTTGAACTAGACTAAAAATTTATTAATTATTGGCAAAAGATATTTGATGATGTCAGTAGTCATATCAGCGATATAAAAAACGGCTTTGTTACGTCCGGTCAACGGCGAACTTCCAGCGAATTGCGCCTCACAATGATCAGATATCGACACAACACTTTTTATATCAGACTTCGCTAGAGAAAACTTCGCAGCTTTATATCAGCCAACGCCGCCGAGCCCCCGTGCCATACTTATCAATGCAAGTTTTGTATTTCTTTAAGTCTTCACGGTCTTTGATGCTCTTAGAGACGGAAATGAGATAATTTAACAACTTGTTGACTTTTTTTGAAGTCGCATCGATAGAGATCGACACAAGCCCTATCATGAAAGAAAAAATAAACAAATACATTTTAGTATTTTAACATAAGTTTTATTATGAGGGAGTAGTAGATAATGAATCAAATTTGAGTTAAACATGCCAAATAGCTAGAGTCATTTCGTCATTTTTCGTTTTTTCACTAATTGTTCATTTTTAGTTTAATTTTAAAATTGTTGATAGACTATTCTTACGGAAGAAAAAAAAAAGATTTTTTTAATCTCACCTCGTAGATTTGAGTTCTTGCTTCTATCAAGATTGAGAGTAGAGTCGCAGAGGCTGGGATAAATGCTATACTTTTGCAGAGTACTTGTTTGAGCTTATAAGATCCCGTAGTAGACCGAATTGGTTGAGACAATGCTATTTGGATATGAATAAATACGACAAAAATATAGAATGATTTCATCATTTTTATTTGATATTATTGGGAGAAATCATTTTTATTTGATATTATTGGGAGTGTATTGAGGATAATTAAGAAAACTTTAATGGATACACAAAGCCATTAACCTGTTTTGGTCAAAGACCATTATAAGGCAATATAACCTTTTCGTTGACGAATAGGCCATTAACATTTGCTCATACTAGCTTTTATTGTCTTTCTTATTGTAGTTGAATGTATTTGACTAGACAAAAATATGACTAGATCTAAGAAAGAACATATGAGTATATGACTATTTTCTCTATATAACTTATCAAATTTGATACATGTTTATTGCTACACATTTAGCACATCCAAAGCCTATATTTTATCGTACGTGTGGTCTTTCCCATAAAACTATTCCCCTCCCCCTTAATTTCAAATTAGGAACAAATTAATGATTATTCAAATCAGAGTAACTGATCCTTTAGTCAGCTTCAAACTATGGAGATTATAATTACAGGCTGACTTGTCAATGAATGCACATTGAATAGGTTAAATGTATAGCATAATTATATATAAGTGCAACTACAAACACATATAAATAGACATGCCTAGTAATATTTTACATCTTAATTTCCAATTAGTACTAATAAATTTATAATTTTAACAGAGAAGATGATTATGGTAAAGATGATGATGATGGCTATGGTGGTGGGAGTTGCGATGGGAAATATTGTAGATAAGACATGCAAGCAGACACCTGACTACACTCTCTGTCTCTCTCTCCTCCGCTCGGATCCACGTAGCTCCTCCGCCGACACCGTCGGCCTTGCTCTTATCCTCGTCGACAAAATCAAGGTTTTCACTTTCTTACCATAATCTCAATATGAATAAGACAATTTTTTCGGGATCACGGGGTTGGTTTAGTTAATTTAAAGTTAAAGCCTTAAAGGAGATATAATATATTTATGTCCCAAAGGGTAAACTTTTATCAGTTTATATTAAAATGTAAATGCTTTTTTTCTTGTTGGGAATTTAGGCGCTTGGGACGGAAACGCTTGGGCAGATCAATGATGCGTACAAAACGAAACCGATGCTGAAAAAGCCATTAGACGAATGTAGTTTGAGATACAAAACGATCGTAGACGTTGACGTCCACACTGCCATTATAGCTGTCAAAGGAAACCCTAAGTTCGCTGAAGGGGCTGTTGTCGACGCCGGCGTGGAAGCTTCCATTTGCGAAGGAGGGTTTACCAAAGGCCAATCTACGTTGACCAGTTTGACTCAAAGAATGGAAAAGATTTGCGATGTGACCAGAGCCATCATCCGAATGTTGCTCTAATTAATTTTTACATCTTATTTAAAATAATCTAAATTAATGATATAGCTCGTAACCAATATCAACCATGCCTCTTTAATCCGGATGAATCGATGTAACTCAAATTTGTATAACGTTTACCTAAACCGGGAAAATCTTATAGAACCGGTTATCGAACACGGGCAAAAATTCGGCACGAAGTTTCTAGAACCGAATCACGGATATACAAAACATTCACGAGCCAGATATCGACTTACGAGAGAGTAAACAGCCCCCACAATATTAATTAAAATAAGGTATTTTGAAATTATTTGGTCGACGTTGGGTATAGTGTGGTGGACTCATATATAATGGTATTTTTTTGTCGTATATGTGACCGACTACTAAAGTACTCATACGCCAAATATAAACCACATATGCCATCGTCTTTCTCTTTGTTATTGTGCCAACAACCACATATAACCAAAAGGATAAAGTGTAACAAACAAAAACTAAAGACCAAACACATATCCATGTATTCAAAACAATTAGGTAGTACGATTCAATCAATATATACCTCATACCTACATATATACATTAATACTCAAATCCAAGTTTATATAGCTAAAATACTCAAACCAAAATAAAGTTTGTTGATCACGAAGCTTCGTTCACGGGTGGAATTATAATTACCACGTAGACCTAATAATCATTAACCTAGTTAACATCGATATATAACAAAATTCATTTGTGACGACACGTAAAAAGCATATTTGTCTTGGTGGTTTAAAGAAATAACATACTAATTGTTAGTAATTTGAAAGCTTTTCATATAACAAACTTAAATAGCAACTACTATATAAGTCTAGAAACAGAGCTACCAGTAGCACTCACAACACAACCACACACGTCTTTATTTTTAATACACATCAATTTCTTCTCAAATTTCACTATCTCCGACCATGAAAAGATCATCCACCGTCACATCATTACCGTGTCTCTCCCTCTTTCTCCTCTTGCTACTGCCGTCGGAAGTCCAATCCTCCGACGACCTTATCGACAAAATATGCCAAGCAACGCCGTTCTGCGACCTCTGTGAAGCCTCTCTTCGTCCACTCTCTCCCTCACCTTCTGATCCCAAATCCTTAGCCGCCGCTATGGCCAGCGTTGTTCTCGGAAACATGACCGATACTTTAGGATACATTCAATCGCTGATCAAACATGCTCGCGATCCTGCGGCAGAGCGCGCGCTGGCTCAGTGCGCCGAGCTGTACCGGCCAGTGGTCAAGTTTAATATTCCTCAGGCGATGGAGGCAATGCAGGGCGGCAAATTTGGATTTGCGATATATGTGCTCGGAGACGCCGAGAAGCAGACTGATTCTTGTCAGAAAGGGATCACGAACACCGGCGCCGACGATGAAAGCTCGGTGGCTGTTACGGCTAGAAACAAGCTAGTTAAGAATCTTTGTGACGTGGCGATTTCTGTGCTTAAGTCTCTAATGAATGGTCTTTAAGAATCTTTGTTTCTAGAAAATAATAATTATATATACATATATAATATATTTGTAATTATTGACACGAAATTTCTATTATAAATTTCGGAAGAGTTACACTTTACTATTGAATCAAAAGTTATTAACTTATCAACTACAAAATGATATATATACTTGTATATGATAACTTATTGATGTTAAAAAAACAGAGCATATATTGATGATTCTGGTCCGAGCTTTTTCTGCCTAAATTCAAATTTTGTGAATAATGAAAACTAGTTTTGTATGACTTTATTGTTTTAACGTCTAGCAAAAAATATAGTGTACAATTCACCCATGAATATTATCAACTGTAGACATACAACATGATCATAAGACAATAATAATATTAGTACAAGCTACTAACTAACTTATATGATTTGCTGATGTTCATTCTAAAAAAAATTCTATATTAACATAAATTGTAGTTAAATATGTTTTTTTTTCTTAATACAAGATTTGGTTTGGAATGGTTTTAATTTAAATATAAAGATTTTGTTGTAACAAACAGCCACGTATTTCTATCTTTAGGTAAAATTTCAGTTTGATTTGGATTATGTGATTATGTCATATAGGACTTAAATGGTGGTACACTGACTGGTGGTAGCAAACGAAGATGACTACTAGCTAACCATCAAAACCATTTTTTATGTTTACCATTTATAAATTTTAGTATTTTTTTCCTCTAAAACAATGCGTATTTTAGTGAAAACAGAAATTGATTTCGGATGATTGTTACCCGACTTTATAAAGAACAATCTAATCCGCCACCATATTTGTATCCGCAATGATTGTTGCAGCTATTCTAACCCATAAATTTGTGTTTATATTTCATACATTTTTAATATGTTCAGTTGCTGAGTATAGAGTCATAGACTATAGAGTGAGAGTCACTAAACAGATTAGGAGTTAATGGGCCTTAATTAAAGGGCCCACGAAGCATCCGCAGACAGCAACGAAACAGAAATAATAGACGTTTGAAATACACACACACGTGAAATCACATGTTCAATTAATTTGGCACAGCATTAAAAGTGGTCTCTCTAGCTCAGTGGACTGTTTAGATACATCCACATGGATTTTGTTCCCAAATATACATTTGGTATTTTAATAATTGATTTCAAATTTCAACTTCAACCATCGTTACACATGCGATTTCAAATATAAAAATCATATATACCAATAATGTTGGTTTATTGTATTTTTTTATGTTTGGATTTCGTCAAAATTTGGATACTATTTTGCAACAATCTACTTAAATAAGATTACCTTTGATGACTTGAATAACATAACACTGATCTTATTATTTGTAACTTATCTCAGTTTATTCAAGAAAAATTAACACAAAACTACATTCTTACCCATATCGGATAATTATCGTTTCACAGCAGCCGCAGAGAAAGCAGCCGATTTTTCTTTCCCAAAAAATTTATCGGTATGAAAATACATGGCTCACCGACAATCTAAACCGATAAATGGTTTGATCAAACCAGTATGGAATTGTCCAATTCTTAACCTTTTGGTTTACGCTTCACTGTGAACTCTTCTTTTCATTCTCCAAACCGGACACCGGTTTTAGTAAACTGTAAGTACAACAAAACCGGATTAGAGATTATTTCAGATAAGCAGTTACGCCAGTTAGTGAAATTAGATAGAGAAACAACTTACTTTGGTCTCTGTGCTAATTCCGGCCCGGTATAACCTCCATCCGGTTCGCTCGCAGACGGATTTCCCGCATATTGAACCGGAAAAAAACCAGCACTGGCTTTTCCGGCGACTACTAAGTGAGATTTACCGGAGCTACCGGCTGCTCTCGGTGACAATCCTGAAAAATCCAATAAAAACACACAATTAAGATAAACCAAAATTGGTAATCACAAAACGCAAACGCAATCGTGAAATCAAATCATACCTTGAAAAACAAGGACAAAGAAGAAAATAGCGGTGAAAAGCGTGGCCAAGACATTGCCTAAAGAAGAAGCCGCAGACGCAGCTTTAGCCGCTCTTGATTTCTTCAAAGCTCTCATACGTTCGACTCTCGCGCGTTTCAACATCGCTAATTCAGCGATCTCTCTGATAAGTTTCTGATCCGCTGCGTCTAGCGACGGTCCGCGCGGCGGTCGTGGAGGCTTCGACGCAGATTTCTTCCGTTTCTCTTTCCGATCGCTTCTCCCCCATCCCGGTTTATTGATTCCACATTGAACCGGACTTGTATCATTCTCTAACGAACCAACACTTTCTTCTCCGGTTATTACCGGTTTATTATCAGGAGACATCGGCTTCTCCGGTGATTTTGTATAAACATTGTCGCAATCTAACATTCCTTTCTCAAGATCAACATCGAAATCGAGACTCATTCCCATTCTATCTCACCAGATTAGACAAGATTTCAAAAACCAAAAAGAACCAAAGTTTCTCACTTTAGATCAGACTCGAAGTGATCTCTTAGGACATGAATCAAGATCAAGATCTATTCCCAATAGAGACGAAAGAAGACACACATATACGTAAAAATGTGTGTCTATATATGTGAGTGTGTGTGAGTTGCTTTTACTTTTTTGTGACGGCTTTAATAGCCAAAGCAAGTAAACAATGAATTACAGCTAACGCCTCCTCGTCTCCAGAAAATACTAATCTGCAAAAGCCAAAATCACCAACTTTAATTTTTTCACCAATCGATAAAGAAGAGAACTTTTAATGCTTAATCATAGTGTAGAATATGGATAATTACCGAATCAAAAATCACGTGGTTGGGAATACAAAAAGAAGAGGATTAAAGAGGAGAGTTTGAAGTTTCGTTGATGTTTAATTCAGATACTGTCAAAAGTAGGTAATTTTATATAGTGCATTGATTCGAAAATTAAAGAAAGAAAAAAAAAAAGAAATAATTATTTTTGCTTAATCTCGGGCATGAAGCAAGGAACAGCTGTGTTTTTCCTTTTTTCCAATGCCGTGACTTAGGGGAAAAACATATACTATAAAATTTTTTTAATAAAAATGAAATAAATATTTTTACCGAATCGAATTCGAAAACGCAGAAATTAATATCGAAAATACTGATGAGTGATGAGAATTCAAATGATGAATGAAGATTGATTTAGAACAGTCACACAGATTAGAAACTGTAGACGATTTAGAAAAACTGAGGAGCAAAAAAAAAAAGTGAACGAAATTGGTGTGAATAAAAGAGAAAAGAATTTGAACTTTTTTTGTGTTACCTTGAAACGAAAGCGAAGGAGACCCAGATCCGATACTGAAGAGAAGAGCAGAGAGACCGAGGAGAAAATGGCGGATTATTTTGTCCGACTTCAGACCGATTCCAAAGAAATAAAACTAATTCAAGACAAAGAAGAAAAAAAAAAGATTTATACACACATTCGTCGAAGTTTCTAACTTTTTTCTTTTTCCAGGAGAGATCGAAATATATAAGGTAAAATTATTATTAATCGGAGAGAACGAATTAAATTAATAAGAGAATTTTTTAATAAAGAAAAAAAAAAAAAGGACAGCAGATTTGAATTCGAAACAGATATAGGAACTGTAATGTGTTCGGACATGTGTTGCTGTTCTAAATATAGCTGAGACTGAGATAATACGCATGTGAGCTTTTTCTCCAGCAGCGACGCTTCACGTCACCGACGCCCAAATATTCTTTTATTCCACTTTGATCCCATTATTTTATTTTCTTATACTTTGCACCCTTATTTTGTTATGTAAGATGTTTTTTTGTTTTTTTTCCAAGAAAACAAAACTAAGTTTTGCTAATTTATGTACAAAATTATAAGAAAAAATCAAGACCAGAACAGAATTGGAATAGACAATGACAAATACAGAGACGACATATATTGTCCTAATTTGAAAAAATCAATTGGTCCCATTTTGATATCTTTAAATCTATCTGGCCCAGTTTACAAATATATGAAAATGACGACTTAAACAGGAGCGGTTCCCTCAACTGCCTCCTCACACTAATATATTTTTATTAAGTCCCTTGACTACCAAAACTTTTCGATTTAACCCCCAAGAAATTTGATTAGTCAGAACCACCCCGGTCTTAAGAAGTTGGTCTCATCGCGGTCAAATTCGTCAACAACCTCGTTTTGTCACACACTTTTTTGTTTTCTCATTCCTAAATTCTGTCTACACATTAGTACAAGTTATATTAGGCTATGAAAGTCAGAGTCTGAATTTTGATGTGATGCTTTTTATTCTTACAATTTCATTCCATTAACTACATACATAATAGATTGAAGAGTAACATTTATATTTTCGAATGAAATCAATAATTATAGAGAAATCATAAGGCATGGAGGTGTCTGATTGGTAGGGAGCTCTTCACATCGCACTTAAAGACAACATTAAATTGAATCGGTCCATTTCCTAAATGATACCGTGGCCCCATGAATCTGACTTGTTACACTAACGCTCCTTACAGTCTCTATTAACACGTTTATTATCTTTCATTGAGATATAAATATGTACCTTTATCTCTTCTGCCGTCAACAATTCACACTATACATTTATATTTTTATCCTTTTTAGTTTACCCATCATGAACCTTTTTTGAAAAGAATATGTACATAGACCTTAAAAAGTATATTTCGAGTTTAGTGCCCAAATAAATCTTAAAATCTTATACAAAAAGAAACTCTGTACGTGTAAAGAAACACGTGGGTGGATTTTCTTGGTGACGACGACCAGAGGCCAGAGCAGTCAAATTCTGTTTACCAGTCGAATCGGCAAATCCGTAAAGTGGTTTAGGGCCAATAGGTGATCTACAAATTTTTATGTATCGGGCCGAGAAGCCCGTCTTCTACGTCAAAGGCGTCAAAGATAATCTTTTTGTTTCAACGACACCAAGGCTTATGAGGATTTTGATTGAATTCGGTGGCACACAATGCTATTAGTACAGTTACGAATACAAACAATTAAGTTTTTTGTTTTGGTCCCAAAAGTTATAACTAAAATCGATTTTTACTTTATTTTATGTTTTCGTTTTACCATTTTTCTGTTCGTGCATGTTATTTTCACTCGACCCATAGTCTTTTTTTTGTTTGTTGTTCCAATTTTATTGGACACGTCTCCAAAATAAATCCTAGCGATAGTGGAAGGAATCAATAAGTGGGATAAACAAGGTACATACGAATAGTACGAAATGATATATATAAGAATCGGAAATGTGGGTGCATCGTAATATATATGCCAATGCTTGTGATTTCCTAAAATAGAAAGTGAAACCACATCGTCTCTCTTCAATAACAAAAGAAGAGTGATCTCTATACTATATATACAAGCATGTATATATATGTAACGACAAAACATTGAACACCTTATTATCATAAGTTCAGAATCATGCAACAATAAGCAATAAGAATGATTTAGGGTGAGTCACCGTTATTATCTCCACCACCGTATCCGCTTCCATACCCTTCACCATATCCACTTCCATAGCCGGATCCATTTCCGCGGCTACCACCACCACCACCTCCTCCTCCTCCACCACCCCCTCCGCCACCACCTCCGCTGCCTCTTCCACCACCACCACTTCCATATCCAAAGCCGCTTCCATAACCTGATCCGTATCCGGAACCTCCGTTTCCGCCTCCACCTCCACCACCTCTACCGCCACCTCCACCTCCACCGCCACTGTTTCCTCCTCCATAACCACTACCGGACCCATACCCTGACCCGTAACCACTCCCTGAACCTGATCCTTCTCCTCCACCACCCCCTCCTCCTCCTCCACCACCACCACCACCTCCACCTCCTCCACCTCCACCGTTGCCTCCCCCGGAGCCTGAACCATATCCGGAACCTGAACCGGACCCTCTACCAAGAGCTTTTGGTGACCTAGCTGCTAAACAAACGTCAAAAACAACTAAAACCAAGAAAGAAGCTCCTAAGAACTTGAGGCTTCCCATGTTTACAACTTCTTAAGAATGTCAGCCACAAATGAAGAGATCGTTCTTTGTGAAAGTTTTAGAGTAAACGAAGCTAGCTAGAGAAGCCGTTTGTAATGTAGAATCAATACGATGATCTATGGAGAGAATGTTGGTCCGTGTAGGTATTTATAAGCAATCGAGGATAATGGAAACGTAAGAGTCACGTAACTTCTAGTAGCTTCCTTTGACCAATATGTGTGAACAATGGTGAATAAAGTGGGCCTGCAATTTCTTAGTGCTCTTGTAGGTGAAGATACAGCAATCGCCACTTCTCCAATATCATCCCAAATTATATTTAATTTTATATACAGTATTGGAACATGTGTCGTCTTCTTTAGAGCATCATTATTGGGGGGGCCTTAATTTTGGTTCTTAGTAAGAGTCATGTCTCTTAGCCCAAATTTTGGCTCTTAACTAAGAGTCATTCTTAGCAATTTGTTGATTAAAACCTTTAATTTTAATTTTTTTTAACCTAAGAACTAACTTAAGAACCCACCAATAAGGATGGTCTTACGGCTCATCTCTCTAATTCCAAATAGTAATTATATATGCTTAACAGATACGTGTAAACGTTTCGAATAGCACGATCCATCGACCATCGGCCAACTTTTCCATAAGTAGATGTTACGTATCGTCATACTTGGAAGAGAAAAAAAATCACACACGTCATAAGATAGTCGTTAATGGCTTATGTGTGTACAGTGTACTTATTCAAGTAAGTGACCTCTCTTATCTTTTTTTCACCCAAGGGAGAGAAAGAGAGTTTTGTTGTTTTGAATATGTATGTAGTTGGGACTTGGGACCTCCCACTTATTGGAAACGGCCCTCTTTACAGATATGCGTGAAGGAGGTCCATACTTGACTTTATTGAATTATTATTGGGTCTATTGGTTACTGTTATAAGAACCCCAATAGCCCGTTATAAAGTTAAGGCCTGACTAAAATATTTGTTTTTCGGCTAGCAAATATTTGCTTGAACGCTAAAATATTTTGAATTTTTGGCCCAACGATTATCAACATGAAAAGACAACAAGTTCTTTTTTCTTTTGGATAAAATATATTTGTTTTCTTATCAAGGGAAAATGAGTAAAGAAAGACTGTCAAATGCATAACACTATAATTAGTTTAGTGAAAAATGCAAGACAAAAGGAAAAAGTAGCAAGATTTGTTATTGTTTTTTACTTTTACAAAAACCTAATCGGGTAATCCATACACTAATATGGTTCACGGTCTGACCACCATACCAATCTGAAATTTGAACCAATAGTTGTCAATATACTAGTGTACATTTGTTGAGAATTTTTGCGGTTTTATTGGAATTTTTTGTTGTTGTCGTTGTTCTAGTTAATAATATTTCATTTTATAAAGATTGTTATTTTCGTGTTTTACGGCTTTATGGAAAACTAGACAGGGCAGGGTCCTACCCACGTGCGTTTTAAAGAGCTGTGGACAATGTTTTTCTCTTTTCTATGTGTTGTAGACAAATTAACGAGTCTCTTCTCTACTTTTTTTTTAGTAGATGATTTGCGCAAAAAAAAAAAAAAGATCGTAAGCTAAGGATAAGTGGTGACTGATGAGAATGTCGAATTTCGAGTGGTGGAAGGATGATGTTATATATCTAGTGTTATGTTTTTTCCCTACTGTTAATATTATATAGTCATTTCTTTAAGAAATAAACATATTATGCAGATTAACATATTATGCAGATTAATATAAAATTTGACGACATAACATTCGTCTGGGAAAAAAAAACAAAGAAAGATATATAGTATAATCGAGTTATCACCAGCATTTCAGAATTATCACCACGCTTTAAGAAAATTATTCGGTATTCGCCTATTCTGTATTTTTTCGTCATGACAAGTTATTAGGGTTGTGAAACAGAGAAAATAGAGATAGATGCATGATTTTTTTATACTTTCTTAATCCTATTTTTATAACCCTTTTGGAGAAAAACTTGAAAAATGATAAACTAGTAAAAAAGTGACGAATTCGACACTTTGCTCGCGCATGTTTCTAGAAAGTCAGTTTATAACTAATCAAGGTTAGATTATGTATGATTAGTAGGAACTTAATTATTGTTTAGGGATCTAATTGCCACTCAATAATTGATCACCAAGAAGTGCCTTTTCTTAAAAGATAATTCTAGAGGACGAAGGAAAGAACAACCACTAGTTGTATCGTAGCGTGTGACCCTCGTGCTAGATTGCTTTTTTTAGGCTTTCATCGAATAGATATAGATCAAATCGCAAAATTACATTTCATGTATATATCAATTACTAGTTCTGCGTCTCTAGTCTCTATATAACAAAAACAAGTACTCCGACTACTACACCATATTGATTTAGATGTCAATGTACGTAACTACATTATTGTAAGTGTACCCTACTCTAAATTTTGTCTGCTTGATTACTAGAAAACCTCATATAGACTGATTGTTTAGACTTTGGACTCTTAATTTATCGTATTGACATCGATTTTCAGCATTGCATGGTTAATGATTGGCCGTCTAGGATTATAGGAATATGAAGTTTTGGCGTTATTTAGTGATACTTTATCCATGTAAGAGCTCTTGATCGAAAATATCTATTATAACTGTTTATTACTCCCTCTGTTTTTTAAAAATTGTCGTTTTAACTGTATTTAGACAAATTAAGAAAAGGTATACAATGACTATATTAACCTCATAAAAATGACAAGTAATTATTTACAAATAATTTGTGTTTAATTAAATGAGGGTAATTTGGGTAGTTATTGGCATAAGTTACATTATTACCTTAAAACGACAACTAATTTAAAACAAAAAAAATGCTCTAAAACGACAACTATTCGAAAACGGAGGGAGTATGTATCAAATAACATACATTTACAAAAATAAGAGCAATTAACAGTCGAACTTAAATTGCATTTTAGTCAGGCTAACACATTTTTTAGCATTTTTGTCAACTGAATGTATGTTGACAGACCAAAAAAAAATATTAAAAATAATAAGAATTTGATTACTGAAGATTTGTATATTACTTGACAACCCAACAAACTTTGTCGTGGATTGAAATGAGACAGCAGAGAAACGCCCATCTCTTGTTTCAATACAGCAACCAAACGACGTACCATAATTCCTATCTACATATTTAATTTCTTTTTAAAATATTTGTTTTTTCTTGTTGTTACTTGTTTTGAATTTAACGTTTTGTTCTTGTCGTATACGTTAGGTTTTTAAAAACCATATTTCTGAAATTTTTGTGTGAAAAATAATTATAATTATATTTTCCTTTGAATATATCAACCATGCAATATTTGCACACAGGTACACAGTGGCATATTTTGAAAACAAAAAAAAAAACAAAAAACATTTGTACCAAAGCATGCATTTAGTTACATAATCAAAAATATATTCAATTGGACATGTATCTTTTTCCCCGAATATGATGAATAGTGAGTTTTTTTTTAGGGAAGTAGATAATCTGAGAGCACACGTGTGGTCCAACAGGTTATGTGCACCACCAGAGCCGTGCCAAGAGATACAAAGGCCATAAGCGGTACATAAGAAAAAAATCAAAATACTAATCATCTCCCCTAATATAAATTTCTTTTGAAGTAAACATAAAATATTAATTATGAAACGTAATGATTTTATAGAAAATCGTTAAATAAAATTTCAAAATCAATATTTTATAATATTTTTGTGAATAGCGAAGATAGTTTTTTTTTGTTTTTGTCGAATAATAGCCAAGATAGTTAAAACATCAAAATTATAAAGAAAGTTCAAATCCATTGTTAGTAAAAGAAGCAATGGTCGTCAAGAGACCTTGTATCACCTTATTATTTTTATTTCAGTGTTTTCTTTTAATTTCTAACTAATTACTAAATTTTGAAAAGAAAAATCTCACTAACACGATTTATCAAAAATATCATGTTTAGAAGCTAGAAAAAAAAATCAAAAGCATCACGTTTCTATAGTAATTAGTAAAACTTTGGTTTAAATTTACACTAATATGCTGTTGATTTTTTTAATTAAAATGGGGCCGTAGGCGAAGGTTTCATTTTGGGTAACGTAGCCACGGCCCTGTGCACCACGTGCGAATAAGAATGGTCAGTTGCTTGTGTATGGTTCGGACAGCGGCACACGACAGGCTGCCCGTCATGGCGGAACTAGAACAATCTTGATTTATATAACACACGATTGTTGTGTATTTTTGCATATATATATAAGAAGACATTTTTATCAAATAGCCAAGTGTCTAAATCCATGCTTTAAGATGAACCATAAGATTATTGTGTGCACGAAGATATTTTACGTTTGGTTCAATTGTGTGCGCACGATATTCAACAAAGAAACTTGCAAAAGTCACCATTCCGTTAAAACTTAAACGTGAAAGTTTATTTTGCATAATTGCATCGTTGGAACTTAAAAAAAGTTTGATCGGTTGATCCTAGGGAAAAAATGTTTGATTAACTTAATCGTGAGTACATACGTTCTGCAATAAATTGATACCAGTTTTTTCAACCATCATGGATTGGGATGCAACTACTATATTGGTGTTGTTGCGACCGTCGGAAATCCTGGTATCACAAAGGTTCGCGTTGAGTTGAGCTCGATAGTAATTGACTTTGGCAATCTGTAAATATATAGTAGGATATAGCAGAAATTTGAGAGAGTTGTATTTCGTTCACATATCTACGAATATTGTATTTGTTTATCTAGATTCTAGAGGATTCGTTTATGAACTTAAGTCTCTCTTTATTTTTATGAACTTAAGTCTTGTGGATGTAGTTGTATATCTCTTTTATTATTTCTACTTATCTAATTTCATAAGATAATTTTTTAATAATTTTTTCCCTTTATTTTGTCGCTTTCTTTTTCTCTATTTTGTCGATAGATAGTAGTGATCATAGCTAGAACCACTAGATTATGACTAACTTTTCCATTTTGTATATATTAAGTACATAATGATATAATTTCCCAATGTTGACCTATTAAATTTAATGCAATACCTATTTTATCAAGATTATTTATTTATTTACACGTTTTAAAAAAAATGACACATTTATCGACTATTTATGCTTTGTAAATCCTAAATTACTATCAATGTCTTGAGTGTTTTCAAACTATGGATTTGTTAAAACCCTTCTTAGATAATTTATGCTTTATAAACTAGTTTTTCTAAACAATTCCATCATAATTTAGGAAACCTTCTTAGATAAACTTTAAAAACTCTTTCACCAAACATAGTTTGTAGTGCTTTCAAAGTTAAGTCTCTCTTTATTTTTATGAACTTAAGTCTCTCTTTATTTTTATGAACTTAAGTCTTGTGGATGTAGTTGTATATCTCTTTTATTATTTCTACTTATCTAATTTCATAAGATAATTTTTTAATAATTTTTTCCCTTTATTTTGTCGCTTTCTTTTTCTCTATTTTGTCGATAGATAGTAGTGATCATAGCTAGAACCACTAGATTATGACTAACTTTTCCATTTTGTATATATTAAGTAGGGAATCTATAGGCGGTATCCATAGACGATTGGAAAATTAACTGACATATTTGGAGACTGTTTGCTAGGCTTCTGTAGCAAAATTTTGACTATTAAACCCCTACCCATCTGTCTGCTAAAAGCGAGATATATTTTATGCACAGTATACGTGTGTCAGAAACCGAGATATCATATCTCTTTCTTAGATTGCATTTTTGAAATTTCTTTGGGAATAGTATTTGTATTAATCATGAGGACTGGGAGAAATCGAAGGGTCGTGTTGTTTGGGTTCTATATCAACTGTTTTTTTAATTGTTTTTCCACATTTTCTCTACTTTCTTCCGTCTCCGAGTTCCACTTTTTTCTTTGGTGGTCTCATTGTTCTCTATTCTTGATTTTGCCTAATTTTATAATCAATTTTTGGTTATATAATCTTTCAGTTGCTGCTTTCAATCGTCTAATTCGTTCAAGTAAGGCCTTAATTTATGAATGTTTCCATCCAATTTCATTATTTTCTGGGTTTAACAGTGTTTTCTTTCTGGGTTTCGTAGATGGAAGATCTCGGGCTTCCACATCGCCTAATCGGTGCTGGTGAAGAACCACTTGGAGAGAGGGCTAATATTTACAACAAAATGAAAACCCTAAGAGGCATCATTGATTCGTTGGATCAAACCGAAATCAAGTTAATCCGAGACTCTCCTCTCGGTGGTTTGTTGGATTTTCCAAACAAGCCTGCTTGGACCGCTAATTTCGGTCTTTTTCTGCTTGGTCTTCAGTTGGACATCGCGAAATCAAACGAAATAGGTTGGTTATCGTTTTCTGCTTGGTTATGTTTGCTATTTTATTGATTTACTGTTTTCCAATCAAAATAGGTTGAAGTGCCCCCCCCCTGTTGTCGACGAAAGCGTTGATCATTCAAACATACAACCTTTTACTCTTGTAGACTTGCCTGCTAACTCTTCTGTTATCAACAACGATGTCATAAACCCAGAGGTAGTATATAGTTTGAAAATAATATTCGGAGATACAATTAATGTTCTCCGGTACATTCAGAGTTAGTAAATATTTTGAGTGTTACCTTTAACAGAGTTAAGGTTATTATTATTTTAAAATTTTTCCCTTTTTTCAGGCAAGTCAACAAGAGGCTGACAGTGACTCGTCAACTCAAGTTTGTTGATCGTATCTTATTAATTTGATCTGCTTTCAATAATCCATATATCTGGTATGGTTTTTTTTTTCTGTGTAGTCGGGTGGAAGCAACCATTCCATCGCTTCCCCAGGAGAGGAGGCGGTTTTTTCTTTTTCTTGTTTACTCCTCTGTTATATATTTGCTTATCAGATATTTTCCATATTATCTACATAACTATATTGTTACATATCTTTCAGGATTCCGAATCTCAAGGCGTGGGTCAAATGGGAAGTGAACCTATGCAGGTAGAGTCCTTCATTATTGACCATTGATAAAGTATAAGTTAACCTGCTATTCCAATAATTGTTTGATAATTTAATCATTATCGAATAATAGGACTCCCAAATTCAAATTCAACCTGATGTTCATGTGTCAATCCCATCCCCCTGGTTACAGAGAAGGTGTCACTTCATTATCATATGTAATTTTTTTGTCATTTTTCTGTGTCATAACAATTTCTTTTGTAGGCTGATGTTCCATCGCAGAGTAGTGTTGTTGGTAATCCTGGAGAAAGAAGGAGTAAAAGGCTTAGGACCAGATCTTCCAAGTTAGACGGAAGGTTTCAATTTGACAAGAAAACCAAGCTATTGGTTGGACACCCTTCTCCCATCGCAACTCTTCCTACTGTATCTATAGACCCTGAGGAGCGTTTTAACAACTCCATGAAGAAACTAAAAGCAATCAGGTTTGTTGGTTTTACTTTTATTTTTGCCTATGTATGTTATCTGTTAAGATCCTTACTCACTAATCCATTTCTTACCTATCTAACCATTTTATTTCCATGGTTTAGCTCTATTTCTCTGGGTGACGGTGCTCACGTAGTTGGTGGGATGGATGATTGTGTGGAGTTCCTGTCCGATTCTATTGACGCTGAAACCAAAAAACTTGTTTCTGCTCTCATTCTCGCTGGTGTTCCTTAGGCCAGCCCCTATTTACGCCTTTTTTTATGCACCATGAACTTTTCGCCACCCTTTTTAATTTGACATCTTATTTGTTCTCTCAGTCCTCGTCGGTGTTATCTGTTTAAGCAAATACTTATCTGTAATATAATGATCCAAGCTTTTAATTGATTTAATAAGTTAGTATCGGTTATAGTTTTTGTTATCCATTGCCATGTATATGATCTATTTAGGCTTCTTTATAAACCTTGTGAGCGTATTAAACATTTGTTGTAGCCGTAACCTAAATTTTATGGATTAATTCTTCGATTTACCCACAATTTAAGTGTTACCCTCGTTTAAAATATCCCATCTCAGATAAAATATCTCTCGTTTAAGTGTTACCCTCGTTCTCTTTGACAGATTCTGAATATATGAGTTATAACTTTCCTAAAATTCAATTATTTTATCTCTCTAACTAATTAATTACCTACATGGTATTTTTCAACAACGGTCTTGCAAAAGTTATTTCTATCTCAAACCGAATATATGTATTGTCTAGATTTTATTTATTACATGTTAACTTTATAGTTACCCTGAATTAGGGGATTTTAGTGTATCCTTTTATAATCCCTCTGCTAAGCCCAATAAAATATAACTTACCGCGCTATCTTTTAAATTAACCTCCGCCTTATTTTGGCTTCTTTATAAATCTTGTCTGCGTATTAAACATTGTAACCTTAATTTAATGGACTAGTTCTTTGATTTACCCTTAATGAAAGTGTTACCCTCGTTTAAACTATCCCATCTCAAATCAAATGTACTGTTTGACAAACTCCGAATATATGAGTTCTAACTTTCCTAAAATTCAATGATGTTATCTCGCTAATTAATTAGTTACCTACATGTAATTTTTCAACAACGGTCCCTTGCAAAAGTAAATTCTATCTCAAACCGAATATATGTATCGTCTACATTTTATTTATTACATGTTAACTTTAAAGTTACCATGAATTAGGGAATTTTAGTTTATCCTTTTTAAATCCCTCCGTATAGGCAAATAAAATATAACTTACCGCGCTATCATTTAAATTAACCTCCGCCTTATTCTGTTATATTTTCTCATATAATTTAAGTTTCACACATTTAATCTTATTTTACCCTAATTTTACTAACCATTCATAGATAAGTGATTAGTTCCCTTCAGGTTGTATTCCTATTTCTTTGCCCACGCCCGCATTACGCGTTAATAGTCTAGTTAGTGCGCTATCCCACACAGAACGAGTTTTAGCGTTACTCCAGTACTTATCGGATATCTTCTCAGATGTCAATCCTCCCAGATCCAAGTGGCTCTTGAAAGAATTAACGTTCTTCTCCCTCCCTCCTCTTATCACCTTAACTCGTAGGTGCACCTCTTCCAGGTCCGCTCGTATCGCCATAAACAGGGTCATATCTTCATCATCTAGGATGTGTATTGGATTAGCTCTTTTCGTACCCATCCGTTTCTCTTAGCCGTACTGCCATCATAAAACCTTCCAAAGCCGACACATGTTCGAAACATCCATCGTTGCCTTCTTCCATTCCCCTCGAACCAGACGCACTATCAAAGCCATTCGGTACCTGAGAAACCAATTTTTAACTTAATTAGTACCGAATATCATTTACATTATCACACTAATGTTAAGCAACTTGAAAATTAAAAATGTAACGACATATATATACCTTTGCGTATTAATTGCAGATCTTCAATACAACCCAGAAAATTGCTTCCGTTCTTCGTTTCATCAACTGTGTCTCAGAGCATTTATGGTGTTGTTTTTGTGTTTCATTGCCAACGCCTCTACTCAGGTAATTAATAGGTGAACGCAATCCAGTTATACACCCACAACACAAGAAATATCTGCGTAATCATGTTATTTCCTCAAGATCTTTCTTTTCCCCATAACGCCGACGCAATATTGACAAATCTTTCCGTCAGTTATGTCGGAAGCATTAAATGCGTAGATTTTTTAACATAAACAAAGATTTCGTTTTACTAAACCTGATCTCTGTCAGACATAGGGTTATTTTCGTCATTTATCAATACAGTCCTAGAGAGAGAACTAAATTCCTTATAATGGCTCCCAGATCTTTAATTATCTAGTCGTCTATGGTTTTAGATTTTGTTAGCCCTATTAAGTACATAATGATATAATTTCCCAATGTTGACCTATTAAATTTAATGCAATACCTATTTTATCAAGATTATTTATTTATTTACACGTTTTAAAAAAAATGACACATTTATCGACTATTTATGCTTTGTAAATCCTAAATTACTATCAATGTCTTGAGTGTTTTCAAACTATGGATTTGTTAAAACCCTTCTTAGATAATTTATGCTTTATAAACTAGTTTTTCTAAACAAATCCATCATAATTTAGGAAACCTTCTTAGATAAACTTTAAAAACTCTTTCACCAAACATAGTTTGTAGTGCTTTCAAAGTTAACACTTCCATCTAAGTTAATGATCATGGAAAATGTGTACAGTGTATCTAAACCGACAACTAAGTGACTTAAATAGTTGACAAAATAAAAAAGTGATTGGAATAAGACCAATAAATAGTCTTTATTGACAATCAAATTAAAGAGGTTAACAAAAAGCAGCTTAAAGCTCATAGTGACATTATTCACAATAAGAGTCTATGACTACGCCAAAATCATTTAATCCATGTGCTCTTCTCTTTTTCGTTTTCTTTCTTTTTGGTGGACAAAATTTATTTTGTCGAACACAATTGTCCTTTCCCTCGTAATATTATGACTACATCAATCTAAGATTAAACCAAAAATTAGTTTTCATTTGAATACTCACCTCGAGCAACGCAATATTTTAGGCTATTATATATCTGCACTTCCTATTAAATACTCAATTTGCACCTATTCAATGCTATTCAAAATTATGCTTTGATAAAATAATTTAGTTTCATTATGTTTTAAAATAGTTTTAATGATTATTACAGTATGTATATAACTTGACACATCAAAATATAAAAACTTTAGACTTTAAGCCCAAAAATAAAGTCTATTCATTCTTGTTAAAAATATTTATTTATACTGTATGTAATAAATTCTTCAGATCTTTTCTTCTCTGTTTTCTTTTGATGTAATAAAATTATACTGTCAAGTTCAAGTAGTTAACCCGATTTCTCTACTACATCTTTTCTGAAGTATATCTATTGAAAGATTTTCATTGTCTACCCAATTGAATGCATTACATGTGCAACCAAAATATAAGTGTTGGTGGGGTTTAAGGGTTTTGTACAAGTATTGAGAAAGTTGGAGATAATCACATGACATGTGTCAGAAAACATTATGTTTCATGAATTTCTTTTTTTCATTTTTCTGAAATTTGGTATTACTATTCCTCCAAATACTAAGACCATCAGCAGTGGCAAATGTGTTTGTGTGGGTGTAAGTATTTTTTTAGTATTATAATTTAAAGCAAAAGAGAAAAAAGAAAGAGAAAGAAAGAGAGAGATAGAGAGAAAAAGTGTTACATCCAAGTGTAAACTTACACCCGGGTGTGAAGAGAGAGACAATTTTTTCGTTTTTTTAATACCTACACCCCAAGACTCACACCCACCTGCTTGCCCCACTGCCCATGCTCTAACAGTTTCACCAAAATCAGTGCCTTTTGGCCGACCAAAAACAAAGAAGAAGATTTTAGTGCCTTTTTCCACCATTTTCGTGTATCCGAGTAGTAGTAAAAGAATCAACCATAAGAAAAAAAAAAAGCTGGCAAAAAAAATACAGTGGTCGATTATATACCCTCTGTGCAAAATGAATCATGTGAGTCATCATGTTCATGTCTTTCTCAACCATGTGATTGCGTTAACTCTCTAGTTTTTTTTTTAGCTTTTTTAACTTTTTGTTTGCATCCCAAAATCTAACCACATACCAAAATAAACCCCGATACCATTTACAAAAGAAGAAAATAAGTGTAGTAGTCATAACAGATCTCCTTAACAAAGAGAATTCAGTTCCAATCACCAACCTAACTTCTTCAAACATAACAAAACAAAAACTAATTATACTCTCCATTGTTGCATTTTGCCCTATCATTAATTCACCAAACACTTAAAACATTAAAATCGATTTTGTCATTATGTCCACAGTTGTTATCTTAATCAACAAGTATATTGAAATACAACAACCTAACCACAACAAGCTCTCAAATGTGCTTCCACGATTATCAAGAAACTGAAATTTATTACGATTACAGAAATCAATCACTGTCCTGTTTTTTTCTTTCTTCTTCTTGGCACTAATTTTGGTAACGGAGAGATTCAAGAAAATAAGGATATACATGATGAAATGGTAAATAAAGTTGAATAGTAAAATATTCAAACAACAAACAAAATACAGTGAGAAGAATAATAATGGAACAAAACAGTTTTTTTTTTTGTTTTTTTAAATGAAAAAAATTAAAAGGACAGTTTGGCCAACTAACCAAGCATGTGTGTTTGTCCCCCATCATGACCTGGCGGCGGCGGCGGAGGAGAAGAACTGACGGCGGAGAGAATCGCAGTCATAGTACGAATCTGCATCTCCATGGCAGCTATATAATCAGTAGTTTCTTCTAAAACCACCGGTAATGTTTGTTTACGGCAACCGGGAACTAACCGGCTCAGAAGTTTCACTTTCCTCTGTACAGCTGGCAAACCTTTAGCCTTAAGCCTCAAAACCGTCGCTCTCTGTTTCTTTGACCTGATACTCCCGGTGGTTATCGTCGTCGTCGTCGTCACCGGATGTGAGATTCTCTGCCGTTTCTGTTTCCTGAATTTGAGTTTCACAGCTTTCGATAGTATCGCTCGACTCCATAACGTTTTACCTCTCGCCGCAACTGCTAAAGCTCTATCGGCGACTTCACGTACAGCTCTACCGCCACGTGGAACCGAAGACGACGATGAAGAAGATGGTTGTTGACTGATTCGAAGCTCTTTCAAAGCACGAACTAGCTTCGTTGAGTAGATCTGTTGCTGCTTCTCCGATCTCCATTTCTCCAACGATGTCGATGGTGACGGAGATGAATCAAGAGACGTCGGCGATGATTTCTTCTTCCGCTTACGACGAGAACGATCGGAACTAGAGGTCGTCGTCGGATGAAGAAGCTGAGGAGTCATCGAATCCATAATCGCCGATCAAATCTCAGAATCAGAAACTGAATTCGAACTGTTGGATCGGAATCGAGGATCTGTGTAGAAGAAAAGGAGAATCGAGAGATGAAGAAACGGGAAAGAGATTAGAGAGAGGATTAATAATTTACCTTAAGGGGATGGAGAACGGAACGGGACGGAGGAGAAGGTGGGAGAGATGAGGTGTCAGAAAGGGTGTGGAAGAGGAAGACGAATCCTTTCTTCTTCTTTTTTTTTTTTAATTTTTATTTTTAACAAAGAGAGAATGAAGCAAAGAATCGCATTTTTATACACATGGAAAAAAATAAAAATTACTGTTGTTCTTTTCTTCTTCTCCCATGTGATGTGCACTATCCTGTTAGAATTAATTATTGTTATCCTCTTTCTTCTTTTTCCTTATTTTATATGTCATTTAATTCCATAATAAAATTACTGTTGTTCTTTTCTTCTCCCATGTGAAGCTCTTGTAAAGCACAAATTAATTATGAGCATCTCTCTATTTTATTTTATTTTATAAAACTAGTGATTTCTATTAGTGTTAACGTTTTCTCATAGATTAAATAATACACTTGTTTACATAAGTTTTATAGTTTTGATTTGTAAGCAGTTCGGAATGTATTATTTTGATAATTATCAATAAAAAAGTATTTTTTTTTTTTACATCTTTACATCGATAAAGTCCGATCCATAAAAGAGTTACTTTCAAATTTTTGTATTTTTTTAATGTACTAATTTTTTTTACAGTTTTACACTATTTCGTAATAATCTACCGTTTCAATTTACAGTTTTATGTTACCAATCGGACATTCTATTTTGTATTTATTTGATTCACTGTTTTTTTTTTTTACTTAAAACTTTGATTGTTAGCTACGAACAAAAAAATTATGTCTTCATTTTAAGATCCATAGATATTGTTTGATGCAAATAATAAGATCCATATTTTGTCAATTTTACCATTTCATTTCATTTTCAAGAGTTTTAAAATCAGAAAGCTCTATAGGAATGAATGAAAGATGTTTGAATAAGACGCGGACCAAAGATTATTTGCCAACTGGGTTATGGGTTTTCTCTGAGGCAGGCTTATAATGAAAGAAAAGAAAGCCCATTATTCTAGTATCAAGGCCCATTTAGTTTGATGTTTGCGGCCGGAAAAAAACCCTAAAGACCTAAAATCACATGTATATATACGAACACTGCCGGCGATGCCTAAAACATTCGATCTCTCTAAGCTTAGTTTCAGTTAGCTGTGTTTTTTCTATGTTTATTTATGATCTTAAAATTGGGTTTTCAGCTGATTGGATTCGCCTCTCAGATTGAATTTCCTGTAGAATATTCAATATCTATGGGATGATTCTATCATCGGTTTTACTCGTGAGGCGATAGATTTTTGCAGGGGCGTTGAGTCGCTTCGCCTGTGTTTAACCAGGCATAGCGAATAAGCTCGTGCTATATCTAATCACTAATCGTTTTCTTTTTTAAAGGATCCTATGATGGCATGAAATCTTTGAGACCTGATTTTTATTGATGAAAAGCTATAAGCATTTTTCGCTGAGGATCCTTATAAATTTTTGTATTTGTTTAAATTTTTTTATCTGATCTAGCAAGGAAAAGATGATGAATATGCACTGGGCTCTGAGTTGTTGATTGACATTCAACTTCTTTTTGATGGATAATGCAGCCTAGAAAGCTTAATCTGATTTTTCTTTTTACTAACTCCCAATTTTATAGTAAAAAATATTTCTTAATAAGATCTTGAATCCATATAACGAGAATCTAGTCGTGCATAAGTAATATAATGAAGCCAATTGCTTCACGACTAAATCTGCAAATCAAATCCTTACATCTCTTGACATGATTTGATACTAAAATATTTATAAATTGTAAAATAATGGCTTCATACTGGCAAAGATTTCCCCAAAGCGCATGTTTAAAGGAAAGAAATTGAGCAAATTCTTACATGTTAAAATGTCAAAATTCTTAGTAACCACAATTGACAATCAAGGCTGATAAATATAGAAACAAGAGTTGTGAAAAAGGTTAAGTGAGACAGCAAAAATAAAAAAAACTTTTGATTAGAAACTTGATGTTACATTCGAGAATAGTATGGTTACACAGCTATGTTACATTACAGACTTTTACATAACAATGAGATAAGCAAAACGGCACCAGTCTTTGACAAACGTCAAGGAGTAAAAGACGAACTCATCAGAACAGAACTATGCAGACTTGAAGAGAAACACCAAAGTCAAACATAGCCGCTTAATACAAGAGAGAACTCATTACGTACGATAATGATGTCGTTTTTTCATTTTTGTTTTTTTTTTCCATATGTTGCCTAGCTTTTATTCATTCTAGGCAAAAGTCATATAACCAAGTAAGAAGAAACATTGTTGTAAAATGTTTTTGGTTTTCAGTGTTCAAGAGCACTCCGTATAGAGACTGTTGTGTCTTGGGTTGTGTTGATGTGGCCTCTGGATATGAGGTCATGGTTCAAGAACACCACTATAACCGTGATGTCATCGTGAAAATGGCGTCTCACTTTCTTGTCAATCTTCCTTAGATCTGAATATCTCATCTCACGTTTCCTCGCTGCCTCGTGAAGAGCAGCTTTTATCAGTCTCTTTGCGCTTCCCTGAACAGAGAGAGAACACAGTGCAACAAATCAATCATACATCTAAATAACTTGTAAATAACTGGGATTCTTATGACTTAAATCAGTTATCTGCAATCTAAAACTTAATCCAGACCAAAAAGCCATACCGAATCAATCAAGGAACCTTAAACACGGATCCTTAATGTGAGGAACAGCAATATAATACTATGGGCAAACTAAGCAAGTCAACCATTTGTCTAAGAGAGAAGTTAAGAAAGAAACTTACAGCACGGGGATGGTTATGAACAATCTCAACTGCTTTTTCGTTAGTCAAATGTTCCCAAAGACCATCCGATGCAAAAATGAGAAACGAATCATTAGGATGCAGAGGATGAGAGAGTATGGTCGGTGTTGCAGACATCAATGGTCTCTTCATTGGCTCTGCAAGTCTGAACTTTTGACTGATTGGCTCCTTGTTAAATTCAGGCCGTTTCATGTACATGTCCCCTATAGACCTCGAAACCTATATATATTAACATTCAATCAAAGTTGTCACTAAACACACGGAATCATCAGAAAATCCTAAGAGATGCATGGTAAAGCCTATTAATTATTGGTAACTAGACATCATAAAGAGGGTACAACGTATATTTAGTTTGCTTAGTGCATATATTTAGCTAGTTCATCATAAACCCTGCTTACAAAGAGCCTCACTTAATCAGTGTTCCTAGGCACTGAATCCTGCTATTGTGTGACCTAGTTATGTCTAAGTTTGCGTTTTTGGGGAACTAACAACACAATGGAAGTGCCAAGAAAATGGGAAACTACCTGAATGATGCCTTTAACTCTCCAAACTCCATGCCTGAACACAACGATCTGCGGGTCATCAGGATGTAAGTCCTTGAGTTCCCAACGAATATCTTCATTGTTGGCATTGTGTTCAGTCGACAGCTGAATAGCAGAGAGTCCACCACAGTTGCCTTTCTTTCCGAGAACAACCCGTGAATCTCCGAGGCTTGCCACGAAAAGAGTATTTTGATATATCACTCCAACTAGACAACAAGTGCCAACAGTTGCCAAATTTGGTATTTCTTGCCACAGCTCTGACACAATTGAAGCAAATCCTTCTTCAGTCGCATGAAAGGCTCTCTGTATTGTCTCCCTAGTCACAACTCCTTGCGTCTCCGCTGATATTTCTGCATAATCATAAAGCCTGAGCAATCAAAACATAAGAGAGGCTCAACCTCCTTTCATAATTACAGTGCACTCCTAGATGGCTTAAGCCTGGTACTAATTCATGAAAATCCACCATCAATGCAAAAGCCAGAGACCCCTTATCTAAATGGCAAAGCACAAACAAGAGTCCCATATATCAAACTACATTATACATAGGAGCATACTCGTATCTAAAGTTAAAAGTAAAGACTAAAGTGCCCAAAAGACTGTAGCTCCAAACTTGCATTTAGCTCAATTGGAACCTAATTATGCCCCAAAAGAGATCAAAAAGTCAAAGTACCTAACTTTGTTGACCAATCACCATCTTCATCACCAAGATTTGAACAAAACTTCAAATTTAGTCAACGGATTCATCTAAAATATGTATTTCCCCAAAACCCAATTCAAAACACTCAAGCTCGAATGTCAAAATGACGAATCACAGTGTCAATGAAGAATCGGATTACGAACCTCGAAAATGGTTGAAGAGATGATCACAGACATAACGAGCAGCTTCAGGACCACCATGACCATCGTAAACACCAACGAAAGTCCCGAAATTACCGGATTCGATCTGGCTCTGATCTTCAAGAACCTGATTGGCTTGAATCACAGCCATTGAGAAATCTCCGCCGCAATATTTACCGAGATCACGAAACCAAAGAAGTCCGTCTTTGCCTTCACCACCGGTTCCACCAGAAACGCCACCACCACCACCCGATCCAGCTTCGGAATTATCACAGATGTGCCCGAATGGCTTGAAGCAGAGAGAAAACAGATTCATCAATGAACCTGACATTCAACATCTCTCGAAAACCCTAACCCCAAAACCCACTCCTCGGAACCGTGAGATTTGTTGGGTATTAAGGGTTCGATTCAAAAATTAGAGATAAAGGAGCGGGATTGGGTAATGGAAATGAGATCGGGAGAAGAGAATGATGGGAGAGAGAGAGAAAAGAGAAAACCCTAGGTCTTAATGGAAGGGAAGATGCGTAGGATAAGATGTTTAGGCGTAGGATAAGGTTGGAGGCGTAAGATAGTAGTCGAAGACGAAGACGGACGTGTCTTGTCCGGTCGTAGAGGAACAAAGAAATTCTCGCTTGTAATTTTTTGTCTGATGAGGAGAGAGCGATCTTCCCTTAGCTGTCCGACCATTTTCTATGCCTATACTATTACACAACTGTTGCCCAAATTAAAAAAAAAAAGTTTAACAAATTATAAACTATATTATAAAAATAAATAAAAGATGAAAAGTTTGAGATATTACTAAATAAATTAAACTTAATACAAATCTAAAATGTAACATATTTATATGATTTCAAAGGAAGGTATTTTGTGTTTTTTTTTTTCTAATAAGAGTAGTATTTCAGTCCATCGCTATATCGAGTTCTTTGCATTATCATTTTTTTTTTTTGACTCAAAAGACTTTCTACATACTTCAAGATGTAATGCATTTCACTTATGCAGGTAAATCTTCACCAATCTATATCATTGAAAGTATATGTTTGAAGATAATTTCACTTCCACTACTCGAGAAAAGCCTTCCCACGCGGGTTTAGTTTCCTCCATTCACCAACATGCGTTTAACTATGATATTTGGTTGTGTCCAATTACACTAGATTGTGCACTACTTTTGATTCACTGAGTTTCGGGATCATGAAATGGGACTCTAATCGATATGCGCTTGATTAAGCACAAATGTAATTACATGTATAGTTGTTCTTTCGATCAACACTTGTTCTCTATTTATTTTTTGTTAAAGAAGAAACGATGGTAACATTTACATCTGAACTTTAGTCCTTCGTTTAGTATATGATAAAAAATGAACGTTGTAAAGAAACCGAACTCGATAGTGCTTAGCACTAGCCCAAGACCGTAATACCCGAGAAACCCGATATAACCAAGATAAGAAACCCTCTAAGTATGATAGAAAATTTGGAAGAACAATTAGAGATTACTTGAAAGACTTTTGGAGAGACTTAGAGAACTTTTTTTTATTCACTTGTTCAACTTACTTACAAATGAGGGGGTGAGGAGGTATTTATAGCCTCCAAAGATAGTTTACAAAAGTTCTAGATTATTCTACCATCATCTCTAAAACTCTACTAAAATATCTAGATTTTATCTTACAACCTTCTAGATTATTCTACATAATTATCTAAATATCTATCTAATAGAATTCTCTAGAACATTTAAGGAGGTAATGATTTTTCTATGATGCTCTATGATGCTCTAGAGAAATCTAGAACTTAAGCTTAACTTTGGGTTTTGTCCAATATAGAATATTGAATTATAAACCCATAATTAAGCTTAACCCAAAATCAAGTTTAACTTCAATACTCCCCCTTAAACTTGATTTTGTCAACCATCCCGAGCTTCGAACGAAGTAACTCGAATTGGCCTTTTGGTAATGACTTGGTGAAGATGTCCGCAACGTTGTCCTCACTTCGAACTTCTAAGGCTTCAATTGTCCCATCAAGAACCTTCTCCCTTATGAAGTGATGTTCTAACTCAATATGCTTTGTCCTTGCATGAAACACCGGATTGTTAGCTAACTTGATAGCACTTTGATTATCTCCGTAGATAGCCACCGGTTTATTTATAGGCTCGAACAAATCTTCAAAGAGTCTTCGAAGCCATATACACTCTTGAGCCGCGAGTGTCGAAGCTTTATACTCCGCTTCAGTGGTAGATAGCGACACCGTTGGTTGCTTCTTGCTACACCACGAAATGCTTGTGTCTCCACATAGGAACACATAGCCCGAAGTTGATTTTCGGTCATCTAGATCTCCACCAAAGTCAGCATCTGTAAAACCATGAAGGGAAATCTTTGCATCGTACTTATACACCAAGCCCATGCCAAGAGTTGTCTTGACATACTTCAAGATCTTCTTTGCCGCTTCTAAGTGTGGCTTCCTTGGTGCTTGCATAAACCGACTTACAAGACCTACTGCGAAGGCAATATCAGGTCTTGTAATGGTTAAGTATAGAAGACTTCCCACAAGAGCACGATAAGGTCGAGGATCAGGTAACAATGAACCTTCATCACGTTGGAGCTTGATGTTCACATCCATCGGAGTAGTGCGAGTCTTTCCTTCGTGCACTCCGAACTTCTCAACAATCTTTCTTGCATAACCTTGTTGACCAACGAATATTCCATCCTTTACTCTTTCAACCTCTAGCCCAAGAAAGTTATTCAGCTCACCTAACTTTTTCATCTCAAACCTTATCGACATGTCTTCTTGTAAGCGAGCAATTTCTGCATCATCATTCCCGGTAATTATCATATCATCCACGTAAAGAAGAACTACTACGTGGACTCCTCCTTTCTTCTTGAAGAATAGACTCGGGTCAGAATTTGATGCCTCATAGCCGCAAAATTGAAGGAACTGAGCAACCTTTCCATACCAAGCTCGTGGAGCTTGTTTTAATCCGTACAAGGCCTTTTTCAGCTTGCACACATGATCAGGATGCTCTCGTGATTCGAAACCAGGTGGTTGCTCCATGAAGATACTTTTATCAAGCTCACCATATAGAAAGGCATTCTTCACATCAAGTTGCCATAACTTCCAACCAAAGCTTGCTGCTAAGGATAAGAGTGAGCGTACCGTAGTCATCTTCGCCACTGGACTGAATGTCTCATCATAATCTTCTCCATACTTTTGAGAGAAGCCCCGAGCAACCAACCTTGCTTTAAACCTATCAATGCTCCCATCCGCATTTCGCTTAATTCGATAAACCCATTTGCAAGAAACGGGCTCAACATCCTTGGGTTTTGGAACTAAATCCCAAGTTTCATTTTTCTTGAGAGCACTCATCTCTTCCTTCATTGCAGCCTCCCATTCTTGAACTCCTTTGGCTTCCTCATAAGAAGATGGCTCATCATCATCTAAAGGAGCTGCGAAGAAGCATGAATAAGTAGTGATGAATTCTTCATCTCTATATCTTGCAGGCTTAACAATGTTTCTTTTCGGCCGTTGATTGACCATTGAACCATGATCTTGTTCCTCTTCTTCTTCTTGGTTAGTGCTCCCCCTTTCACCTTGAATTTTATTTCCAGGACTTCCACTCTCACATGGTACTTGGAGAGTTGATTCATCGATCTTGGAGGAATTTGCACCATCTTTTTCAACCAAGACTTGAGGTGGCCCGTAGTATGAAGAAACTTCATCAAAGATAACATCACGAGACACAACATACTTGTGTGTCTCAGGATCCATACACCTCCAACCCTTCCTTTGTTCATCGTAGCCGACAAATATGCATTTCTTCGCCTTTGCCTCCAACTTAGTTCTTTGTGAATCAAACACATGGACGTAGCAGACTGATCCAAATATCCTAAGATGCTTCACCGTTGGCTTCTTCCCGTGAACCATCTCATAAGGAGACTTCATATTGTTTGGACTAAGTGGCATCCGGTTGATGACATAGGCAGCACATCTCATGCCTTCCGCCCATAACGCCTTAGGCAAATCTTTTCCATGGAGCCAACTTCTACATGTCTCACTTAGATGTCTGATCTTCCTCTCTGCTACTCCATTTTGTTGAGGTGTATGCGGACATGTAAATTCTCTCTTGATACCATTATCTCGACAAAAAGAGAGAAACTCCTTAGACATGAACTCCCCTCCATTATCCGTCCTTAAGGTCTTGATCTTCTGACCTAACTCCCCTTCCACGGTAACCTTAAATTCTAGAAACTTGGAGAATACTTCTGATTTTTCCTTCACAAAGTATACCCAAGTGTACCGTGAGAAGTCATCAACGAACAACAACATGTAGTGATACCCGGAATATGAGGGTGTTCTTGTCGGGCCCATCAAGTCACTGTGGACCCTCTCTAACGGAAAACTGCTCCTTGAAGTGGAATAGTCAAATGGAAGCCTATGAGACTTTCCATATTGACATCCTTCACAAATTGTGCCTTCATCTTGGATCTTCAACTTTGGGAGCCCGTTCACCAAATCTTTATTCACCATAACCTTGAGCTTAGTCATATTTATGTGACCAAGCCTAGCATGCCATATAAAGACATTATCGTTGGTACTCATCTTCTCCACATAAGAGTTTGACGCCGATAAAACGTATAAGTCTTTAACCCGTGCTCCAGTGTGAACCACGTCCGCCTTTAACTCTTGGATATTTTTTAAGAATTTAACATCCCTTGGGCCAAATAAAACATAGTTACATGAGTCCACCGCATTTACCACGGAGAGAAGATTCTTTTTTACTCCAGGAACATGGTAAACGTTCTTGAGAGTGATTGGGCTTCCATCATCTCCTTTGATGACCACCGTTCCTTCCTTCTCAACGTGATGGATTGAATTATCCGCGGTAATGATTGCTTCTTTTCTTTCATGGCGTTGAAGACTAGAAAATAATTTCTCGTCTCCGGTGATATGATGGCTACAACCAGAATCTACGATCCAATTATTTTCCACCTTCTTAGGTGTAGATGTACTTGAAGATGCAGCCTCCACCGTAAAACATTTTCCCCATTCGTCGTCTTCATTATGATCTTTTGATTCCGCCATGTTTGTTTCCTTCAGCTTGACTCGGCAATCCTTTTTAAAATGCCCAAGTTTTCCACACCGATAGCACTTGAATTTCTTCTTATCTCCCTTAGAAGATCCTTCATGTCCATCATTGTTTCTTGGACCACCATCATTGGATTTAGCTTTGAAGTTGTGTTGCCTCCTAGCTACAAAGGCGCTCCCCGAGTCATCATGAATTTTGACTCCCGCCATTTGTACAGCTAGTGATTCTTGCGAAGCGAGCAAATTTTCAAACTCCTCCAAGGAAGGTTGTGTAGCCCATCCTTGAACCGAAGTCACAAACGGTGTATACTCAGGTCGTAGACCTCGAATAATAAACCGTTTTAACCGAGCATCGGAGATTGATTCCTCCGGATTAAGACTATTGATCTCAGAGCAAAGGTTCTTTACCTTGATGAAAAACTCCGAGATTGAAGACTCCCCCTGCTTCGCATTCGCCAACTCGTTTTCTAACAATTGTAGACGAGCTTCGTTCTTCTTGTTGAACAATCGATCTAACGCTTGCCAAATTGAACTAGCGGATGTGCACCTTGAGACATGCTCAAATACTCCCGAGGATATTGACCTCTTTAAAGCAAACTCCGCCTTGGCATTTTTACGTGTCCACTCCTTTGTCGCTTCCGCGGTTGCAGCATCTCCGGTAGGTGGTGAAGTATTACTTCCGCCGACGACATCCCATAAGTCTTCACTAACCAAGTATGACTCCATACATGACTTCCATAACCGGTAGTTAGATTGGTTTAAGATCTCCATTCCCAATCCAACAACGCGACCCATAGATTCCATACTTAGAGTAAACCCGAGTTCTCTATCACACCGATCTTGATGAGCACAAGATTAGAATGGCTCTGATACCATGTAAAGAAACCGAACTCGATAGTGCTTAGCACTAGCCCAAGACCGTAATACCCGAGAAACCCGATATAACCAAGATAAGAAACCCTCTAAGTATGATAGAAAATTTGGAAGAACAATTAGAGATTACTTGAAAGACTTTTGGAGAGACTTAGAGAACTTTTTTTTATTCACTTGTTCAACTTACTTACAAATGAGGGGGTGAGGAGGTATTTATAGCCTCCAAAGATAGTTTACAAAAGTTCTAGATTATTCTACCATCATCTCTAAAACTCTACTAAAATATCTAGATTTTATCTTACAACCTTCTAGATTATTCTACATAATTATCTAAATATCTATCTAATAGAATTCTCTAGAACATTTAAGGAGGTGATGATTTTTCTATGATGCTCTATGATGCTCTAGAGAAATCTAGAACTTAAGCTTAACTTTGGGTTTTGTCCAATATAGAATATTGAATTATAAACCCATAATTAAGCTTAACCCAAAATCAAGTTTAACTTCAATAAACGTAAGTATAAAAGAAAAGCTCATTGTAGTTCACATTATATTCTTAAAATGTTTTGCTACTTCCCTCTAAAAATATTTGACTATAATTGTGTCATTGATAATTTAAAAAAAAAAAGAAAAAGAAGTAGGTCAAATTAAACCATAAAATATCATATTAAGACACAAATACCTCATACAAAAAAAAAGTGGACATAGATAACTACATAATTTATAAAATAAGGATTTAATCCCAAGGAAAGCAACCATCAAACATGCCGGTCTTCCCATTAAACTTGCAAGGTCCATTTTTCCGTATTTTCCATTCGCATTTTTTGCAGCCAAACTCTTGAAATTCTTTGTCTCTACTCTGTTTGTAGATATCAAATTTATGACTCTCATTTCCCCAACTAAAGCTACAAAAAAAACAAAGTCCGGCCAAAAATATCCGGTGTAAATCCAAACGACCACGATCCACCTGGTGCTAAACTTCGGTCTCCAAGATCATCGTCCCCTGATTTGCAGTGGTACCGTAGCGGCAAACCACCTCCAAGATCATTATAAATCACTACAGTCGTCGAGGCTCGAGACATAGTTTCACTCGTCAACATAATCACTACAAAGAAAGCTAAGAATATTTTAAGAGAACCCATAATTGGTCTAATTTTTTTTTTAATCTTCGAAATATCCAAGTATATATTGATGACTATTTCAATCAAACTTTTTTTTTTTTTTTTTTTTTTTTTTTTTTTTTTTTTTTATTTCAATCAAACTTGTTCAGTATTTATACTGTATCGGTAACATGTTAAAGCAACACTTTCCAAATTATGATCCATGTTCTTGACAATATACACTTTCCAAATTATGATCCATGTTTATCTTGACAATATAAACTTTCCAGTTTTATCCTTTTTTTTTTGTTGACCGATACGAATTGCTTATTCAGCTTCCTCTAATTGGGTCGTATCCCTGTAATTGTTCCACTCATTACTCAGCACAATTACTCTACAATTCTGTATATAATCAGTTGTAATCCTTCATATTAATATACAAGTCAATTCCATATACAGTAGAACCTCTATAAATTAATATTCGATAAATTAATAAACACGATTAATTAATAAATTTGGTCGGTCCCAAGTCGGGCTAGTGTAAAAAATTAACCAAATTCGATAAGATAATAAGATAATAAGTTTTTTGAAATCTCTATGTAAAAATATAGTCCCAATAATATCATAAATTAATAATCATGTAAATTTACACATATATATATATAAATAATAGTTTTAGTGTTTTTCCTAAAAATAGCCAAAAGTTTTTTGTAAGTTTTCAAATTTTGAATATGCATAATCTTTGTTTTAATAGTCATATAGGTTTTTAAAATATAACAATGGATGTTACTATTTATGAATTTTAATTTATGTATATCATTTGTATATGTGAATTTTATAATCGTTATTATTCATTGTCAAAATAAATTATTTTCTCTTCGAAATATTAAGTATTTAAAGCTAAAACTATAAAATTTATAACATCCAAAACATTAATTTTATTTAGATCACATTGCTTTAGCTTGTATTTTTTTAAAAAAAATTTACAATTGAAACAAAACTTTCTATAAATTAATAAAATTTCATGGGCCCAACATTATTAATTTATAGAGGTTTAACTGTATTTCATATTGACCACACGCTATGTGACATTCTCGATAACATTAAATTTGAATGTTCGGTTCCTAGCTTTTTGATTATTTAATTTTGTTGTTATTGAAAAATTATAAGTTTTATAAATAATTGAAAAATATAAGAAAACTATAACAATTGTTTTGTTCACAATTGCTCCAAGATGATACACAAAATTATTGGGCAGCAGGAAGATTGAGGCCCATAAGTTGAGAAGATAATCGATTGTCTTCAATGTGGCCAGTAAGGCAGTAACTGTTGTAGCGTTCATTTAAGCAAATATAAAAATTGGGCCCTCTTTTTAGTCTGTAAGATATAATATCCAACTATTTATAAAATCAAATTTGCTTATTACATTTGTTTTTTTGGGGGCAAAATAGCATTTCATTATAAGACCTTAAAGCATTTGTTAAAATCAAATTTTGTTATCTGTGGCAAGGTCCACCATCGTGATTCTGATCGATGGAGTGAAATTTGATTCTCCAATGAATTTTGAACAAGGAGTGTTTGAGAACGGTAAACTGTTTATGGTTAACTCTTTCGTAAACCGGTTTGACTAAGTCCGGTTACTATGCCTCAAGCTATTTTAAATTTTTAACTAATTATAATAATTTTTTTAACATTTGATAATTATAAATATACATCAATCAACCTTGTCACACACGCTTCTAACTACTCCTTCACTCCCGGTTAACACTTTGTAAGACGACAATTTTACAAACGCGGAAGAGAAAGCGTTGAAGAAGCGGTCTTGGTCAGCCGCAAACGCTTCCACAAACGGACGTGTACGTGGATCAGCTCCAATCTCCGAGTCAATTCTAAGATTTCCACGTCCCGCGATGGCATCATCGTAATAAGCTGTATCGAAGATCACTGAAGTTTGATCGTTGGGGACAAATGTGGCTTCCGCAGCTAGAGAAGTTGGAGAAAACTCTGGACAAGCAACACGCAAAAACGTTTGAAAACGTGGATCCATGTTCTCACTTGTCGCGTTTGCGTTATCGAAACGCGATAATACGTTGTTGCAATGTGTGACTCCTATCGTATGTGCACCTACAAATTTAAAAGAAGAAAAATCTTATTATATGAATTAAATAATGTATATGATTCAGTGTCTTATTATAAGAAAACGAATAAAAATATTACCCATAATGGCTACGGACTCTTCAATGGTCATGCCTTTGCTAGCGAAGAGGCTTAAGGTAGTGTCCACGTCAGCAGTGGACGGAGGAAGCTCAGAGTCTGCCACGTGTTTGCTTGGAGTGGAGAGAGAGTCTTTTCGTCCTAATGGCACGGAGATGAGTGGGCCTCCAGTGAGAGCCACGGCGTCTCTGGCGGCGAGGATGATGACGTCGGAGCATGAGACTTGCTTGGGACACTCAAGCTCCAGCGAGGTTTTGATAGAGCCAATCAGATCCCTCTTTCTGATTCCGAAGTTCTTGGCTGAATCAAGCTCAGTGAACTGTTGGTCCCCACTTGGTTCGAGTAGGATTGATGCGTCACAACCCTGTTACATAAGCCACATATTTTTGTTCCCGACAATTAATGATGATGAGATGAAATAAATACCAAGAACAATTATCTAATTCGAGTTTTTCTCCATCTCTTTAAAAGAGAAATTGTGACTTATCTATGTCGGAAAAAAATGGTTATATATACTAATATATGTGGCTTATATAATAAAACAGTGAATTTACATGCATGTACGTAGTCTATCTACTATTTTCCGAGTAATTATCCACAAATTGTATTAACTCAGATTAGCATGTGATCATATCCAATACTCGAGCAATTTATATGTTTTTCGTACGTACCCGATATACTAATGAAATTAATGTTGCTATATTTAACCAAAAACTTATAACGACAAAATAATAATGTTGCTAAAACAAAAAGCCTATAATTTTAGTCACGAAACCACTATATTCGCATGTTGTAAATGACATGATGGGCGCTGGTATGAAACAAAATTACTTCATTCGTCATACATATATATAGTCCACAATGGGGCCGTGACATGTTTAACTAATTAAAGTGGTCTTCACAAAATTTTCGCATCTTGTTTATTTCTTTTTTATATTAAGTTTTTCGCATCTTAGCTTGTAGTCTTCTAAATTTATGGATCACATGCAAGAGAAATTACGTAGTTAGCAAAAATTTAAAATTATATATAAAACATCTCAACAAATGTTTTAAAAAAAAAAACAAAAGCTCATGTTAGAAAAAAAATATACCATATAGCATGTACGGACGTCCATTTTTCGCAATATTATTGAGGGAATAATCAATACATGATTAGCATATGGATATGTTTATTCACAAAGTGTATAAATTCGAATCCCAAACATAATTTATAAACACTTTTCAAACCAAACCATATTAAGTTGAAAACATAAATTGAGAATTTTCTTAGAGTGAGAATGAGAGATGGATTTGGCTAGAGGTATATATAGAGAACCTGAACTTGGCAGTCATGAAACATAAGCCTTAGCAAGGCTGCCGGAGAAGTAGGATCAAGTATAAACATTGATGAAAGTGAAGATCTCACGATCTCTTCGACTTTGGGACAAGTTTTCTCGTAGTAACTGTAAAATAAGCCTTCATTATTAGTCTCCGTTTGGTCACCATTAACGCAGCTACATAACAAGCTTAGGACAAGAAAACATGATGCAGCTGCAGATTCTGCAACTTTGCTCTTTGGTTTCATCACTCACTCTCTTTTGTTTGGAATTTGATGTAATTAAAAGAGAAGATGACTTTACACATAAAAAAGAGAGAGAAGAGACTTATGTATTTGCAACTGGAAGTGTATGTATAAATAGAAAGCTGAAGAAAGCCTCCGTGAATCCGTGACATTAATAATCCCAACCGAAAAGAATTTTGAAAAACATGAAATTGGTTTGGGATCCCAATTAGTTTTAACCGATCGGTTTATAGTTTTTCGGGTTGAATTTGGTTATCCTCTCGATTCATTATACAAAACCAGATTGCTAGGTTTACTAATGTAGGCTATGTAGCTAATGTAATATGTGCTTGATTTCTAATTTTTTTTGGCTATTTATTTACCTATGAACTTATGTAGCTAATGTTATTAAAAAGTCAACCAATAATTATAGTCTAGTATATTTCCGGTTAAGTTGGTTAACAGTTTCAGAACCGAATATTGATATATTAATATGATGCTGGATAAAGTATACATATGTTTTCGATTATGTTGCAGAGAAATAGCCGAAAAAACATCGTTTTTTTTTTTGTTTCAGTATAGTTGCAGTACATGGGAATTGAAATCACGCATTTTGCTTACACAAAAGTAGCGAACCGGTGGACCGGTTTTGGTTCAATAAATGGTTATAGGTAACAGTTGATGGAGAAGACAAGACAGAGAATGGGTAAAAGCAACATGCATGGATAATGTGAAACAGTTAGGTTGATTTTCACGTTTGCATCCATATAATACACACATATTTTATCTATACACATGTATATTAATGTATTGTCAAATTTCATCCTTCACTTTTAAATATTGTTCTTATACTATAAAATAATACTTCAATTTATTTATTTCTTCATTTTAATTTATCATAAACTAATAATGTTTGATTAAATAGTTTAACAACATAGATAATTAAATGTAATGTGGTATCTTGGTTAAATTGAATTAAACGAAGCATAAAAGAAAGATTATCCTCAAATTTAAGTAAACGTGAATAAGTTAATTTTTTTTGGGTTTCTTTGAGAAGTAGTACGTTTTCAGAACTTAATTAGAAAAGCAGTACAATTACTATTCAATATTAGCAGGAACCCAGCTTTCTACTGTTACTCTAATAGATACTCTTCTCTAATAGAGCAAAAAGAGGATTGGTACAGTGACGAAAATGCCCTTTCATCTAATAAGCACAATTTTCGACGGAACTCGCGTCTCTCTTTACCCATCTCTCTATCTTGCAACTCCATCTCTGTAGTTCTCATCTCTCTCTCCGCTCTATCTCTGCAATTTTGTTCTATCTCTACAACTTTCATCTCTCTCTCTCTCTATCTCTCTTTCTTGTTCAAATCTCCGATCGATCTACTTTTGATAAGCTTGATTTTGGATGAAATTTCATATTGTACTCATCGAGGGATTCTTTTTGGGTTTGTTTGGAATATAGTACGTTTTTGGGTTTATCCTCTTAATCCCTCGATTTATCCTCTTAATCTCCGCTCCATCTCTGCAATTTTGTTCCATCTCTCTCTCTTGTTCAAATCTCCAATCTCCAATCTAAAGACAAAACAAAGACCACCACCATTAAATGGCTTTCTTCACCGATACGAACAAGACAGGAACACAAACACACACCCAGAAGTAAGCTCGGGTGACTTTGAGCTTGTTCCCCGACGAGTTGTTCCTGATTCAGCTTCCTCTGTTCGTCAATCTCCTGACTTCAAAGGTAAATTTGATTTCGTTTGCAATTTGGATTCAGTCCCTTCTAATTTCAATCTATTTCTCTAATTCATGCTTACGTTTTTGCCATTCAATGGATTTTTGTATTGAGAATGTTCTGTAATATGGGTTTATTCGATTTCAAGTAGTCCTTTTAAAACCCATATTTTCCGTAAGTTGTTTCATAGTGATTTCTCTAACTAAAGTTTTTACTTTAGGCATTAGAGCTTACTTATTGATTTTGAGAATTGGGTATTTGAACTTGCAGATCTATTTATCATTTGTTGAATTAACAACACTCACTACACATTTTAAAGGTTTTAGCTAAAAGCTAGTCTTTTTGTTGTTTGCGTCATCTGCTATGTTCCCATTATAGTTCATAAGAAACTTTGTTTTGAAGAACTTGTCAAGGGGTCAAAGTATTGTAGTTCATAAGAGACTTTGTTTAAGAAGAGTTCATATTAGTTATTGTTTCATGTCTTCACTAACGCTTGTTAATTGAGTCTCATGCTTTATGATTCTGTCTCTTGCTTCACGAAAGTAAAGTCCACCTCTTTAGTTGTCAAAATGAGTAGTACAACTAAAGGTTAGTAGTATTGATATATGATCTTTGACGTTAAAGGCTTAAAGCTGTTGTCTTGGGTTTATTTTGTTGTAGAAAATAGCTCAAAACTGATGGTTAGCTAGATTTCAAGTAGTATGATCTCATGCTTTAGGTATGTCTGACTCCGAATCTTCTTTAAATTTCTGGTTAGTCCATTGCATTTGTTGAGCACCAGAGAAGTATGGATAAATGTAGAAATGTATATCTAATGTTTGTGTTTTTTCTTCGTGGGTATGACAGGGCGGCTTGCGCTGTTAGCGTTTGTAGGATTTTGTGTGCAACAGTCGGCTTACCCGGGGACTGGACCATTGGAGAACCTGGCAACTCACTTGGCGATATTGTTATCCCTTTCAACTAATGAATGTAAAAATAGAAATATGTACCTTATGAGCTTTATGTGTATCAAAAACATGGTGTAATGCAAGTCAGATTTGTGAAAATCTGTATTTTGTCTTGGTGCTCGATTTGCTCGTGTGAGCTTGAATTCTAAGTGATGAAACCTTTTGAACCCAAATAAGGTTAATTTGTAATATATTTAATCGTGTCTTTCTTACAGAAGAAATATTGTAAGCTCATGACTATTTGTTAGATTTCTCAACTCTATGCTTATATGCCATTTGTTTATATCAAGTTATCAACTAAGATAAATGGTTATTGAACCACTCAAGATACATCCATTTTACCTAACACTAGATCATGACCCGCACATACGTGCGGAGTTTCATATTTTTTAAAAAGTTCTAACAAATTTTAATTCAATATAGATTATTTCGTTGTTTCTATGATATATATTTTAGTGTATTAGATCTGGATTCACACGTACGTGCAGAGATATTTTTATAGAAATTGTTATATAGATTTTAAAAATATAAAATATTTTGTTGTGTTAGTGAGCTTTATAATAGTATAAATATTATAAAATTAGAGTAATGAACGAAATTCAGTTGCGTTAGTGCATAGTTATATTTTAAGATCCGGACCTACACGTACGTGCGAAATTATATTTAAGATAAAAGTAAGATATAATTTAGTTGCAAAAGTTAAATGATGTTACTTTTTTATTTTCTAAACTAATCAAAATATTTCTAATAGTTTGATTACATGTGTTAAATAAGATATAGATTCGGTTTGAGTTTGGTTATTTCATGTATATTAGCTAGGCGTAACTATTTTAGAACGGGAAACCTATCCCGTCCTGTATCTGTCATAAATTCTTGGTCCCATAACCCGTCACGTATACGTGAAATAAAAATATGACGGTCCAGTATCCGGCATAAATAGAATGTTTAACTGAAAACGTACGTATAGGATTATGTATGTAAATAAATTTATTTTATATAGTGCTCATAATCTGAACTCATACCAATTGGGTATTTAGTTTGATTTTCAATTTATGTTCCCCTCTCATCCCGTCTCGTAATTCCTATTCTCATTTCATTCCATTAAAATCATGTTCCAAATTCTTGTTTGCTTACTTTTAATTACCATACAATACATACTGTGAGTTTTGCAGATTAATATATATGCTGCTAAAGTTACAAATATATTTTAACAAATTTATTAATGTTTCTTTCTTTAGCTAAATTTTGCATATTCTTCTTTTTATTTTTTAATCATAATTAATTTGATTTTTGGACTAAAAATAAAAATTTGAGATACATCTCTAAAAGGGATATGCTATTGCTGCATAATTTGTTTTGAATTCAAAATATATAATTAGTTTACATTATTTGAAAACTGTGTGCAATATATTAGGGATTTATTTAAGGAAGATACGGTTGAAAACAAAAAATAAAACGCAAAATAATTTAGAAATTAATATTTACAATCTATTGTTAAATATTTATCAAACTTGCTCTAAACGAAGCTTATAATGATAATTACTTTAAATTTATTATTATTTGAGTTTATTTCATCATAAATATAAATAGTTGTTAATATCTAATATCGTATTTTAGAAATTTTGAAATAAAATTTTGTTTTATATTTTAAAATTTGTGAAAATATTATAACAAAACTGAATCTTAAAATATTTGTATTTAATTTTCTTACGAAATTTTAAATTTAATTTTAAAGTCCTCCATTGATAAATCTTTTAAACGATAGTGTTTTTAATTTTGAATTAAAATGATATTATTTTTCTTTTTATTTTTGATATATAATAGTCTATTACGATTGGTTTAGATAAAATCTTTAGTTGGATATCAAATCTTAGTTTTTCAATTCTTATTGGTTAACAATTTTTTAAAAATTAATTTCAAATTTTCGTTTATAATTAATAAGAGAGAGAAAATTAGTTTATTTTTTTTGGAAATTAATAATTATTTAAAAGAATTAAACTATTTTTTATTTAAATATATTAATTTTGTGATTACTATTGTACCCTTAATGAAGTTATTTAAAAACACTAAAAACCAATGGCATTTTTTGTAATATTTTACTCTTCATAAGGTTATTTAATATTTAGTGATTCCCAATTAATAATATAGATACATTTGAGTTTTAATGAATATTTTCTATTCATCTTTTTTCCCCTCATTTTTTACGTTTTACATTTAGTTATATAATTAACTAAAAATTATTACTAGCTAAACAAATATTTCATATGGATATATATTTAAATTACATTTTCCTTGATTCAAAATATAATTATAAAAATTTATAAAAATAAAATAAGAATTAAATGAAATTGTCGCAGCGGCGACGAAACAAACATAGAAACCTGCGGTTGCGGCAGCGGCGACGGCAGCGGTAACGGC